GGCTTGGTGACGGGGAACACCACGCTCGCATAGAGTCATTGAGGTTGGAAAAGACCTCTGAGATGCTCAGGTCCAACCGGCGTGCTGGAGGGCAAACCCTGCTTCCTGATAAAATGGGTGGCAAACTGCGGCTACCTGCTGAAGGTAGTCCTGGATAATACCGTTTGCATTTGCACCCAGAGCTTTTGCTGCTCCCAAGTCCAGAAAAGGCATGTTTGGATCCAAATCTTCGTGGCTGACTCCTGCCTCTTACAATATTCTCCTCGGTTTTCGACGGGACCTTTCAGCCCCCCATCTGCCAGAGCCCCGTGCAAAGGGGGGCTGTGCAGACTGATGCGCCTGCGTTTCGGAGCTGGAAATGGGCAGTGGCGTGCGAAGGGCGTGTTGGACGACAGTTGTGACTGTGAGTGGGACGCCAGGCCAGCAGGTGGAGAATGGAAGAGCCTGCTTGCAATAAGCATCCCCACCAGCCAAAAAACAGTGTTTGCAAGCGGTGCTCCCACGTTTTGCACAGAAACCATGTTGCGGTCACCACTTTGGACGTTCAGAAAGCCTCTGCAGATGTCCCAAGCTGCCTGGGAGAGAACTTCCTCCTCAGTGAGCATGACTTTAGATTGGATATTAGGAAATTAGATTGGCTATTAGGAAAAATTTCCGTGCTAGAAGAGTAGTCAGGCATTGGAACAGGCTGCCCAGGGACGTGGTGGAGCCACCATCCCTGGAGGTGTTCAAAAAACATGCGGATACGGCCCTTCAGGACATCGTTTAGCAGGCATGGTGGTGTTTGGTTGACGGGTGGGCTTGATGACCTTAGAGGTCTTATCCAACCTTAATGATTCTATGATTCTGTGACTTCCATCAGCAGTTGCATTTCCTCAGAATAAAGAAACACAGCCGACATGGGGTTGCTAGTGAGTGCAGAGCTGGACCTGGGCTGCGTGAAATTCGCTTTCATGAGAGTTGAAAATGAACAGCGCTTTCCCTGCGTTCGAGGGATAAGATACCCATGTGTCTTACCTCTTTGACATAGCCTTTCCTTAATAATTTCTTCCCAGGACACGTGCTCTCATATGTGCAACAGCAAATAGGGAAGAAAATTCCTGGAACCAATCAAGCTACTTCCCTAAAGGCTAGAAGAAAGATTATTACTTTTATCAAATACTTGGGAGGCTCTCAGATGTTTAAGACAGAGAAGGCTGGAGAAATGGGAAAATACTATTTGATGGGTAATGAACCAGCATTTATTCAATAAAGTTCATGAAGCTGTCAAAGTTGATGTCGTCACAATAATAATTATATCCTTAATAATAGCTCCTATTTCTGTATCTTCAGGACCCAAAGTCATCTAGAACTAGGAAAAATGTCAATATTGAGTAAAATCAGCTGTCTCTAGGGAAGGGAAAAAGATTGATCAAGTAGGTTAAATCCAAGTGTATATTCTAGTTTTCCTTTCATCAAGACATTTTAAACACAATTTCCTGCCTGTGTGTATGCACATATAATATATAGCTATATATACACACAGATGGACATATATTCTGTGCACGGTGGCTGCTTGTGATGGGATGCAGGAGAAATTTTCCGTGAAGGAAAGATGAATAATTTCCAGGAAGAACAGGGCTACATCCTTCTTTAGAAGAAATAGGTCTTTGCCATCTCTACAAAATAAGCAGGAACTCAGCTTTGTAGGCTGGGGCCTAATAAAAGGCTGGATGGAATTTTGTGCGTTTTCTCAACATTATTAGTGGCAATGTCCTTTCCATTCTTCTACTTCACGTACTTGGTGTTAATCTTCCTCTCTTTCTACAGTCTGCCTTCTGCCCAGCCTCTCATTTTTTCTGATCCTTCTTATTTTGCTGTTGTTAAAAAAAGAGGGCCTAACAGTACTAACGGCAATGGGCAATATCCATTTGGCTCACGCCGTTCAGTGGCTCTGTGGAGCAGTAGTGAGCTCCCAAGTGGGCAGAGCTGTTCCACCTACTTGTGTTGCTCTCACAGCTGGCTGTACCACAGGCTGCCCAGAGAGAAGACTGGCAAACAAATAGCTTGGAAAGAGCTTGCAGCTGCTTGTTCTTCTCCCCAGCCTCAGGACAGCCATAAAGTGTTTCTGCAGTGGGAGTGTGTATTTGGAAGCTTTCTTCCAGGCTTCTCCTTTTCTCTCCTCGCTTGGCACCATCTCCCACACAATCGTTTTCCTCAGCCATTTACAGGAAAAACAGTCTGCCTAGACTTGTAGCCAGTATCACTCCCCTCCCCAGGGTTAGGAACAGTGGGCAGAGTCAGAGTACTCCTGAGAATTACCCATATGTGAAGCTGGAGATGAGAGATGCAGCTCGGAGCAGCAGACAGAGCTTCTGAAGTGTTGCAAGCACCTGGAATACGATTAGCTCTCGATTCTGCCTTCAGGCTATATGGGATGCGGACTTTCAGTTTAGCCATATAACGCAAAATGGTTTCTTGCTGACTTTATTAGTCTGGGTGCTAATTAATAGGCCAACTGTCACCATTACCGCAACACCAGCAGATTTGTACTTTAGCCTGAACTCATTCTCAGTAAGGACATGGCCAGATTTGATGCACAGTGGTTTTCTGAGTTAATAACTGTACTTGCGAAAAGTTCAAGTGGTGTGCAGCCAAATGACATAGACAACATTTAGAGTGAGCCAGAGCAGCCTTGTCTCTTTTATTCACAGCGATAACCCAGGTTGTTAACAAGAGAAGGAAGATGTTTGATACTCTTAGAGAACAGGAGTTCCATACAGCGCTGTTTTCTGCGACAGGACTCTGTTCTTCAACAGAATTTCTTTCTTCTCTGTGCATGGGCCAATAAATAATTCTGTAAGTCGTATCTCATTGAAAGCTCTTGCAGCAGGAGCTCATGCCAGAAGGTCAGCACATCTGTAGTGGTCGAGGGGAGAAGGGCAACAGTTCTGAAAAACGCCTCCTCTTGTTTTGTTCCTATGCACGGATAATGGCATGCTTCTTCCACTGGGTAAGAATTGTTGCCATAGTAATGTTTCCAGCACTCCTTTGGATCGATAGCAGAACAGAGGGGTTTTCAGGTATTTCTGCTGTTTGCAAGCCTGCAGTCATACCCCATATATATTTCTGTTCCCTTTTATAAAATGTTTGTTCAAAGAACTTTCAGCACCGTACAATTACGTTAGGAAAGCAACATAAACATGATGTCCAAAAGTCTTGGGTCAGAATCAGACCTCCAATCAGCAAGTGCAGTTCTGTCAAGAGAGCAGAGTTGCGTTTGCTTAAGCAAAGCCCCAAACTTGGCTCTTGTAGGCCTGTCAACATCGCACAAAACACAGGAACGAACTGAAGCTGCAGAACTGGTTGCATTTTTTGCTGAGGGTTCAGATGTAGTTCAATTCACAAATCAGTGAGATTTTTCAGTTGATTTAAAGTTTGTTCACTGGTTCATAGACACTCTGTAGGTACCTGACATATTGCCACAGCCTAGGTTCAAGCTGGTTAGATGCTACTAATTCTACGGCGGGAATGAAATGTTAAGGTCTGCATCTACAAAAGCGTGGATTTAATCACTGCACTGCCACTTTCAGCAACCACCTTCAACATGCAGATCATCAGAATCTGCCCATCCGCTCTACACATGCCAAGGGACTGCGTACGTGTTGAATAGAGGCCCCTACACTTCCCCTACATCACCTAGCAGCTAGGGCACATCTCAGCATTTAGAGTGAGCTCTTTCAGATGTTTACTGGGAACAGTCCCATTCCCAGTAAACAGTTTGCCACAGCCATGATGTGTAGGAGTTTTAAGAGTCAATATTCATGCTAGTTGACCTCAGTGTTGGAAAATGGCTACAAGCATGGTTAGTGTATGCAGACAGGCTTTAGCTGAAGAAGAAGCATTGCCATGTCTAAATGTTTTTGTGAATTTAGCATGCAGAGCTGAGGACAAACTTTTCTCAGGTAGAAAGCGTTCTGCTTGCCATACTGATATACAAGCAATAAAGGCACGATTTGCTAGCTATGTATTTTGCATCTTTTTAGAAAAAACATCTCAAACTCTGCTTGGATTTCTCTGTGGGACAGTGATTCTTTTACTTCAGTAGTTTACGTCTAAACCTTACCATTCACAAGCCTATTATGCATTTTTCTGTGTGTAGATTCCTTTACAAAGAGCAGTATTTACCTACAGATGCTGCACAAGGCTCCTTCAGGTATTACAGTTATTCACTTCTAATTGGAATGGGAACATGCTATCTTCCGCAATTATGTGGTACATTTTTTAAATAGCTACTAATACTTCATTGCCTGCTGAAAACATCTCCAAATCACAAATACAAGTGGCTTCTGCGGGAACAGCGGTAATCAGCACCATAGACACAACTCAGAGAGATTCATTAGAGTTCCCCCGCAATTCCTAGGCTGGTGTCTGCATGCATATATCACCACTGAGCAGAAAAAATTAGGCACTACTTCTTCTTTTCCTCTTATCTGACATTTCTCAGGAGAGGTGGTATTCTATATCTACTTATTCTTCCCCTTCCTTGCTTTCACCAAAACTGGAGGAGACTTCCTTTATCTTCTACAACTCCTCCCTCCTTGCTGACGGCGAGGCCCTCTTGCCTACATCTACACACCTGGCCTTCCAGAAAGGAAGACAAGAGGAGAAAGGAGTAGGCGAGGAGTAGGCGAGGAGGAGGAGACATATGTGTGGGTTTTGTGATGAGGTGGAGTCAGGACACATCTAGGCTGCTGGACACTGGAAAACACTCTCGAGTCCTGTGGCTTGTATGTAATTCTCTGTCTTGGCGGCCTTGTGAAGAGAAAGACAGGGGAATTCAACTGAGATTTCTGTCTATGGGCAATAGCATGCTGTGATTATATGATTCTGTCAATTTTGTTTTGGAGCTACACAGGCCTTCCTGACACCCAGCTTTTTCAGCAACAGTACTTGTTAAAGATTTTATGCTACAAATTTCAGAGGATTCACATATCATCTTGGACTTTCTCATATAGTCCCATCCATTTTCCTGCTACTCTGAACAGATTTTAGTGAGAAAAGTTAGAGGCACAGTAACTCCTTTTGAGGAGAGAGAGACTGAGAACTGGGAGAATGTCTGCTAAAATGACCGACTATATCTGTACATATCACAGGCCACATTTTGCTCCCAGGGTTACAGTCCTGTTTGGTCAGAGTCGTCGTTCAGATGTAAATGAGGACGGAGTACAAGTCAAATTAGTTAAAAGCCTGCTCATGAGAAGGACAACAGAAGTTTTCTTATTAACATCAAGCAATCAAGACCCAAGCCCTGAGCATCAACAGTGCTGAGAAGGTGCGGTTTAATCTGTTTCTGGTTTGCACTCAGCACCAGCGAAAATAAAGTCTGCACCACAAAAGAGATTCCAGGTTTTACAGGTAGATGGGTAAATTCATGGAGTGGCATTTCAGGACCAAAAAATGTAGCCTTGAAATACAGCAGCTACAGGCATGCACGTCACCTGGTTAACCAGGTGGTTCTCTTAAAAGTCTAGCTGATACCTTAGATCAGCTTAAGAGGCTGGTTGCTGTAGTGGGGCCTTACTTTCTAGCTCAGCTGCTGTTTGTTCCCAAAGGGAATGCCCCCGAGGCTACCCCTGGCACTTCAGCCTTTCTGTTTACCCAGTCTCTCATCCAGAATTCACCCGCCTCCGCATGGTGTTCCTTGGCATCCTTGCTAGCACAGAGCTTGCAGTAACTCTAGCTTTGCTCGTCTCTGCACGCAGGCGAGAAAAACGCCTGCGTATAAGCCAACACACGAATGCCCTGCCACCGGGCCAGAGGCAGACTGCAAGGCACTGCTAAATAGATGCCAGAGCTTCCACGCTGTCCTGCTAGCTCTCCTCGTCAGGCAGCTCATCGCATTCAGAAATCACGCTGTTTTCGTCTGCTGTCCCCTGCAGTTTGGCAGAAGCATCCTCTGAAGAGACATAGCAAGAGCTAATGCTGATTAACTCCTCCTCAGATATCCATGGGTCTGGATGCACTGAGATACCATGGTAATGAGAGCAGTAAGGGTGTCTAGACAGACAGACAGACAGTAGTCCCACAGCTAGGGGAGAAATTTTGCCAGCAAATATTTCATCAAATTAACTGTTAGGTATTCTGAACAGAGGAACATGTGAATATGCAACCCTTGTGTACGGTGAACTGAGTGACTGCCTGCTATGACAATTTTTATAGGATATCACAGAGCCTCTGGCAAATACACAATTAACAAAATACTTAAAAAACAAAATGACATCTAACATTTGACAAGCTGTGTTATTAAAAGGACTTCTTCGATATTATAGCGTTTTCCTGGGAGTGATGGGAAGTCAAACCAATCTTCCAGACTGCAGTTCTTAAAAGGAGGGTATTAAATCACGTTAAAAGACTGGCTTTTACATAGCCTACACTTAAAAGTCACCACAATGATTTCTGATAAGGATTTCAAAGTGCAAGAACCATTTCTGTCTTAGATGTTGATCAGCTGTGCACCATTCCCTTCTGTGCATTTGCCCTGATAAAAATAAATCTTGATCGACTCAGGTGCGGAAATGAGGAGTTGCCTTGAATATGTTTGTTTGTTCTCAAGCATAAATTATGTTTGAACAATAAGAGCACGGCTCTCCGAAGGGCTGAGCACCTGCAGCTCACATTCCACTCAGCTGGAGCTGTAAATGCCAAGCAGCTCTGAAAAGCCAGGGTTGTAACTGTTCCGCTGGATGAGATTTATCCAAACAGTATTGATCGACATCTAAATCTCAGTATAGGGCTGCCTCTCCCTTTCCAACTTACTGTGTTTACTTAGAGGCCTAGATTCTGTGTAAAACATTCTGAATAATTTTGTTTAATTAAAAGACTGCAGTGAAAGGAAAGAAAGGCAAAGATGTGCCTTGTTCTGCAGTACAATAAAAATAAGTAAATACAATTCCAGTTAATTATCCATCACTCGGTACAGAGACTTCCACTTAATCTAATCACCGATTAATTAGATTGTCTGTTTTATTTGATCAAATTTACTGTAACCAAATCATCTGCATTTGAATTGTGCTCTGTTTATTTTGATTATTTTCTATTATTAAAAAGGTCACTCTCAGGTCAATTTAGGCCTGTATTTGTTGTTTAATACCAGAGGATTTCACATTACATAAATATGTTTCTGGGGAACCCAATTTGACGCTCGGACTTTTAGAGCTATGCAAGTATTGAAGGAACTAAAACCTAAGATTTTCAAGTGATTAGATGCCCAACTCTGGTTAAAAAAAGCAATGTCTTTGACAATCTGGGCTACATTCACGGACGTATTTCCCAGAATCAACAAGGTATTTCAATGAGGACTGAGGAGCCTAAATGGCAAATATATGCAAGAAAGGGTTTAGCTCACAACTTCTAATTTAGAGTCTACTCCGTTTCCTGGTGGTGATCCCTGGGCTGTG